GGGGGGGGGGGGGGAGAGAAAGCATGAGACAATGTAGGCCAAGTTCACGGTAGTATCGATTAAGTCATTGCCGCCTGCCTTCACTCCAGATAGAGGATTTCAGATTTTGTACAACTATTTTTTTTCAAAATTTATTATCATTGTTGTATTTTTTTTTTTTGCATCCTCTAAGACGTATTAGTATTAAGTAAGCAGATAAAATGGAAGCTTATTTCATGGCGATGGCTCCACTGTTTATCGAGTAGATACTATCAGGAGAGAGTTGACGAGGTGTTGCTCGTGCCCTGCCACCTGGTGGACACGCGGCACAGGATTGAGACGCCACCACTACTCTAAGCTCACTCACGGCACCACAACGCAGGGATCACTCAAACTGCCACCATAACTCTCAACTCACTCGTGCCGCCACAACTCAAGAAACTCAATCATGCCACCAAAACTCTTAAATCACTCGAATCATGCCCCATAACCTACGATTCACTCAACCATGTCAATAAACTCACGAATCACTATCGTATTCTTCTTCTTCTCCTCTTCTTCTTCTTCTATATATTAAGGGCCCACGATCAATTTATTGATCATTTTGGCTCCTATGCATGTAGAGGGGATTTGCAATGTTTCTGTGCCTGGTGCTGATGAGGATATTTCAATGATTACAAGTGCTACTTTGTGAAGGAATCATGCAATGGGGGTTGGAAGGCTTGAGGCAATAGACGCAAATGTGTCTAGTGTTGTGGCCTCAACTGTTTCTTTTGAAAGCTTGTTCCAGTCCCTGATTGTCTTGGGCAGGAATGAGCAGCTCCTATACTGGCTTCTTGCTGGTATGAGCCGGAATTGCCTGTCATTGCCTCGTCGCTGTTTATCGGGGAGAGGGACGAGTTTCTGTTTAATACTGGAACAGTGGACCAGCCCATTATTTATCTTGTACATCATGGAGAGCCTGGATTGTCGTCGTCGTTTCTCCATTGGTGATCAGCCTAGTATTTCTAGCATGCTGCCAACACTAGAGGTATTCCTGTAGCGGTTTAGGACAAAGCGTGCTGCTCGTCGCTGGACCGCCTCCAACCTGTCAATGCTCTTCTGGGTAAATGGGTCCCAGACTGAAGATGCATAATCTAAAA